AAATATGCCATACGTCGATCAAGTCATCAAAGAAACTCTTCGAGTATTCCCTCCAATACCAAGGTTTGCGAAAACTTTTCGCATCGTTATTTCTATTTACCGTATCTTCATGATTTTGGCATGATTTGATGCTGTTGATTCATAGAAATTCGAAAGAAAATATGCATGCTCGAACACACTACAAATTTGCATTCTATCGATAAACTTAAACGAATTTTCTCAAAAAATGGCGGAATAATTAAACGTGACAAGTTGAAACTGATGGATCTACTTCAGTATTGGTCGTTTGTGCAATGAGGACGTAATTATTGATGGTATCAAATTCGAATCAGGCTGTCATATTCATGGATCAACATTCGCAATTCATTTCAATGAAGAGCTTTATGAGAATCCCGAGCAATTTCGACCCGAAAGGTGCTCTAAATGCATGATGATTACTCTTCTTGATCTCTATTAACATTCAGTTCGCATTATCAAAATATCATTTTTCATGCAACGTATCGAGCAGTTATCTATAAATTAAAGATGAGTTAAAATTGAGTGTTTGATTGTTTAGCCGTTTCAGATTCTCTGCTGAAGAGCGCAAAACCACTGATCCACTAGCGTTTCTACCGTTCGGATTCGGACCTCGTAACTGTATCGGAATGCGATTTGCACAACTTGAAATGCGACTGGCATTAGCCAATATGTTGAAACGTTTCAAATTCGTCACCAACCAAAAAACACCCGTAAGATCGAAATTACATCTCTCATTTCTGTTGATCTAGTTGACTAATTTTCACAATTAATCATTGTCTACATTCGCGACTAAGGGCATAACGAAGAATGAAGACTGAAACATACGAAGAATTCGTTTTAGCCACAAAATTAGGGTGCGACTTATCTCACAGACTTCAGCAGAAATATTACAGTGAATAATCACACATGATCAAAAAAATTTTTCATTGATCAATAGAATTTAAATGTTTCGAAGAGAAAGTGCTGAGGGTGATTGCGGTGAAAATCTTGAATAATTCCAGTTGCACAAAGGAGGGATTAATGCAACCCATTAAGAAGTTTAATGAATTCAGAGATCTCTTCAATTTCAGGAACCACCGCTCAAAATCAACGCGTTACCGTTCACAAAACCAGCTGTTCCCATCTATCTTAGCGCTATCCGGAGAAATACGTGAGATCAATGCATTATACCTCACATTTGTCTCCATATTAGGTTTAAATTTTTACATTACGTTGATTACTATTTCATGCTCATGTAGACATGTTTCTTTTTTTCATCGGAGCAGGGTTCCGCAATTTTTGTATCATAAAAAACTTTTGTTTGTTTTAAAATTGTCGAGAATTCGTCGTTATTTTTTGTCCCTTAATGAGATAATTCAATAACTCATTCAACGAATAGCTCGTTTATCTTTTCGTGATGCTGGTTTCCATGTTGTATTGTCTTTGTTCGTTGGTTTTTAGAATATGTTTTGTCAAATTCTTGAGGATTTAATGTGTATAAAGGGTTATTTCATTTTGTTTCTCTTATAAGTTATTTCATTTTCTTTTTTTTCTCTTATTTTTTTTTCTCTTAAGCATCTCCGAGAGTGCTTTTGGTATCTTTTTTGAGTACTTCCTGAAATGAAGAGGGGTTGCGTAAGTGCATTAATGTTTAAAGTTTACAAACACATACACTTAAGCTATCCCGTCAGAACACATTAGTATCGTAGCGTGTTGATGTTTTATGATAAGTTAAGATGGTTGGTGCTCATATTAGAAGACACTTCAACTTTTTATGAAATGATTTTCTGTATCACTTTCTATATGATTACTTTACTATGTTCACCGAATTATTACTAGTAATACGTTCTTTATACATTAACTACTTCTTGGAAATACGTTTTGAAATGAATGCTTTTCTCTTGCGCTCACCTTCTCATTTCTTTTGCCATCAATTTCATTTCTTTTATGATGGAAATTGCCGTAATTATTGGCAATTTCTGTGAACAACAAAAGACCGATCGTCCATCAATAATGATTGCTGAGTACGACCTTCAGACAGAGGATCGTCCCATTACGGCAGACGAAACGTCCTTCGAAATGAACTTTCACTATCAGTGCAATGTTGATGCATTTTCGATGAGAGTGAATGGGATGTGAATTATTTCTCAGTGATTTTTTCAATGTTGTTTGAAACAACTCACTTCGACCTTTTTGATCGTTAACCCAATGTATTTTCACTGAAATCATAAACCTGCCACGAATGCAAATGATTACTGAATACAAATTCTTTGTTCTTCAATAATTTATCGCCTTGTCTCATTATATGCCTGCTTATTGTCCAATGAGTAGTAATCAAGGTCTATTCAAGATCCAAAAAAAACTATTTCTATGAGTTATTTATGCGTTGCTTCATAAATCTGCGAGAAATTCCTCATTCATTTGAGGCATACAAAGTGATTTTGGACTGTGAGCAAGAGAAAACATCAAATCTGACTACGAAAAGAACTGTACTCATGGATGAGCTTTTTGTTGCTACAGTTCTGTTCAGTTCAGTGTTTCTCAAGTTTCTTTCAGTTTCTTCACCCCATCGGATTATTTTCAATTTCTGTAATATGCCTGAAGCAGTATGTTCCACAATCGTACTTCTAGTTTTTCTTATTTCAGTTCAGTATTTTCTTCGGTTGTTTGTGCCTTATTGTTTTATGATTCCGCAGAAAATGGGAGAAGAAATAAATTGCTGAATCCATTGTTCAAAGCAATTCATCGTTTCACTCAACAAAAAATTTTGAGGATCACCAATC